CTAACCCCATCCCCATAGAGGAGAGCTGGGGTGGGCTGGGGGGGGGGCAGTCCCCCAGGGTTGCTCTGCCTTGTTGAATCCCCCCCCCTCAGGGAAATTAGCACACCAGAAGCCAGGTGCAAATCCTAATCCTGCCTCCAGAAGGCTCCTGATCTAAGGTCTGGGCCTCTTTATTGGGGTTAGTCAGGTTCCCACTGCAGGAGAGACAGAGGGTGGGCAGTCAGTACCCTGTGGGTACCAGGCGCCGGGATGAGGGCGGAGGCTGGAGGGAAGCTGGAATGAAGACCCGGGCATCAGGGCATCTCCTCCCTTATGTAGGTCTCAGATGCCCCCTGGTGCTGTGGCCACACCTGGAGTCAGCCTCACCCCAACTTTACAGCCTTGGATTTTCACTCACACAATGCATTGGGAAGGGTTTTATTTGCTTCTTTGCTCGTTTTTTCGTTTTATCTTTTTTTATATGACTGATTCATTCTATTGTACGTGTATGAGTGTTTTTTGCCTGCATATGCATGTATGTATGTGTGTATGTATGCATGCATGCATGTACATCATCGCATGCCTGGTGCCTGCAGAGGTCAGAAGAGGGAGGCTCAGAGGTTACAAGATGGTTTGTAAGCCTCACCATCTGGGTGCTGGGGATTGGATCCAATTCATTTGCAAGAGCTACAAAAGCCCTCAACCTCTGAGCTACCTCTTTAGCCCCTGCTTTCCAGGGTTTTGTCATTTTTTTCCAGAGATGGGGTCTCGCCGTAGTTGAGGCTGGCCCTCAGTTCATGGCACCCTTCCTGCCTCAGCCTCCTGAATTCTGGGATTACACACTCGAGCTGCCACATCCATTTAGGAGGGCAGAGGGTTTCATTTGTTTGTTTGTTGGGGTGTGGATTGGTACCCTCAAACTCACGATGTAATGAAGATGGCCTTGATCTTCTCATCTCCCTGTCTCAGCTTATCCAACCGAGACCCCAGCTGTGTACACCACACCATTTTGGGAAGGTCATCATCATCATCATCATCATCATCATCATCATCATCATCATCATCATCAATAAGCCTGAGAAGTCAGCAGGGAAGGCACGTAGCGCAGGTTCCGTTATCAGTCCATAGGCTCCTACCCCCAGCACACCCTCCCCATCCTTCCAGAAGAAGCGGCCTGTCTTACCCTGTTTCTCTCTGTCCCTCCCAGAACCCTCCCACGTCACCCAGACCATGTTCCTCCTCTCCTGTCCTCCCTGCGCAACTCCTCTCTCAGCCCTCTGGCCTGGCTCCGGCCTCCACTCTCCTTCCCCAGCTTCTTTGGGTACATCACCGGCCCCCAGTAAGGCCAGCACAGTCCAGCCTCAGGGCCTGAGGGACTATCCAGCAGGCCAAAGTAGGAACGGGAACTGTGTCAGCCCACCCACCCACATCGAAAGGAGAGGTGGAGGACTAGGGATGTACACATTTGGTAAGTTTGCCTAGCATTCACCGAGGCCCAGCGCTGCGCTAATGGGGTGTGGTGGGACTTCCGTCACCTCCAGGCTCAGTGCTCAGATAAACGGAAGAAGGATGGGGGGGGCGAGGGGGAAGCTAGACCTGGAGATTGGGAAAGGTTTGCCTCGTAGGAGCCTGCTTGGAGAAGACAGCTACAGAGGCCCACTTGTGGCTGAGAAAGCCGGCATCTGGCTGGGGGGTTGGGGGCTGGGACTCAACTGGTAGAGCACTTGCCTAGCATGCATGAGGCCCTGGGTTCTATGCCTAGCACAGCCAAAAGTGAAAAAAATATAGAGAGAGAGAGCTGGATATGGTGGCACACCCCTTTAATCCCAGCATTTGAGGCAGAAGCAAGATCTCTGAGTTCAAGGCCAGCCTGTTCTACAGTGAATTCTAGGACACCCAGGGCTATACAGAGAGACCCTGTCTCAAACAAAATAAATAAAATAACACCAAGAGTATTTCCAAATGTTTATTTACTTATTTTGTGTGTATAGGTGGTTTTTTATCTGCATGTATGTCTGAGTACCATGTGCATGCCTGATGCCTCAGAGGCCGTAAGTGGGCATCGGATCCCCTGGGACTGGAGTTACAGATGATTGTGAGCCACCATGTAGGTGCTGAGAACTGACCCCAGGTCCTCTACAAGAGCAGCCTGTGTTTTTAACCACTGAGCCATCTCTCCAGCCCCATAGATAGACTGTTAAAGGAAAGTCAGTACCTTTGCACGTGGATGGAGACGGATCATGGGGTGAACACGGTGGCATAGGACAGTGACTACAGTGTGGGAGAAGCCACAGGATGGTCCCCAACTGTAGCTCAGGCCCCTGTATCCTCCCCTGCTCACCAAGCAGCGGCCCTGGTCCTTTCTCATGACACTTTCAATCCGTACATCTGAGGTATTTCCATACTTGATCACTGCTTCTATTGTGCCTGAAACTCTAAGAGACAGGCACCTAAGTTACCCATTTCTCTTTAAACTGTTGTAGACTTATAAAATCCAAAAGCATTTCCCCTCATTTGCAACAACAACAAAGAATGAAAGAAAGAGGTTACAGACAGCTGACATGCAATCACTTTCTGTACTCCATCGTAGTCACCGGCCCCCACCCCGTGCGTCCGCGTGTATATTTGTGTGTGTCTGTATATGTATGTATGAGTGTGTGTGTGTCTGTCTGTGTGTGTGAGTGAGTGTGTGTGTGTGTGTATGCACATTCTCTCATACTCACAGGTGTGCACAGATAGCAGACGCCAACTTCAGGTGCTCAGGGGCCAACTGCCTGTTGCTTAATTTATATGTGTGTGTGTGTGTGTGTGTGTGTGTGTCTGTGTGTGAGTGTCTGTGTGTGTGTCTGTGTGTGTCTGTGTGTGTCTGTGTGAGTGTCTGTGAGTGTCTATATGCGTGTGTGTGCACATTCTCTCATACTCACGGGTGTGCACAGATAGCAGATGCCAACTTCAGGTGCTCTTGCTCAGGGGTCATCTGCCTGTTGCTTAGTGTGTGTGTGTAAGTGAATGTCATGTGCTTATGGGCAGCAGATGAGGTCAGAAGAGGGCGTTGGATGTCCTGGAGCTGGAGTTACAGGCAGCTGTGAGTCGCCTGATATGGGTGCTGGGAACTGAACCGGGATCCTCCGGAAGAGCATCAAGTGTGCTTCGCTGCTGAACCATCTGTCCAGCCCCACTAGCCATTTTTATTTTATGTCTTATTTGTTTGGAGATAGGGTCTCTCACGGAGACCTCAGACTGAGCAGGTCAGGTGGCTGCCAAGAGTGGCAGGCTTTCCTGATTCTACCTCCTGGTGCTGCGATTACAATCACATGCCACAAAGGCCGGCTTTTCGTTTTGATTGGTTTTGTTTTTCGAGACAGGTTTTCCCTGTGTAGCTTTGAAGGCTGTCTTGGACCTAGCTCTTGTAGACCAGGCTGGCCTCGAACTCACAGAGATCCGCCTGCCTCTGCCTCCCGAGTGCTGGGATTAAAGGCATGCGCCACCACCAGCTTTTATGTGGGCTCTGGGGATGGAACTCAAGTCCTTAAGATCATACAGTAGGCATTTTACTGACTGATCCGTCTCCCTGGCCCCTCGATCCTACTTTTAAAAAGTCAGCCTCAGGCATCACTTGATGGATGACACAACTCTATTTTAGGGTAGCAACAGTCAAAAAATGACTTTGGATTTGTCAAGGTGCTAAAAATAACCACCCTGTCTAACATGCGTCTGAATTGTCTGTCTCTGAAGCAAAAAAAAAAAAAAGACTTTTCCACTTTTCCATTCTTTTCATGGTTCCCATCATTCCCTGGCTCAGCTCCGTCATAGCGGGAACGTATGCTTTTTCTCTTTTTTTGTTTTTAACTACGTGTGTCAGGTGCCCTGAGGTGGGCATCCAATACTGGTGACGCCACCATGGGCCGCCCAGCCTGGGTGCTGGGATTGGAACTCCAGTCCTTTGTGAGGACAGCAAGCACTCTCAAGAGCTGAGCCCTCTCTCCAGCCTCCTTTATCCCCCCCATCTCCCCCCCATGCCCAAAACTAGGTTTGAGGCAGGGTCTCCTCATGTACTCTAGGCTGGCCTGAAGTTCAGTACAGACCAAGCTGACCTTAGACTCAGGCCGAATCTCGCTCCTGGGCCCTGGTGTGACAGGGACGCGCCATTCCACCTGGCTGCCATTGCTCTGGGATTGCATCCTTTCCCTCAGTTTTTGTCTCTCTGTCTTGATGGCCAGTACCTGAGGGCAATGGTGATGACAGTCCCTGTGCAAGACAGGTTCTCTGGCCAGCAGGCAGGGAAGGGCCACCAGTCACCTTTTGTTTTTTAACCTTTTAGCTCCCTGGTCGTTCCTAGAACGTAAGTCCCTTCAGACCACGTCTCTGGGCAAAGGTGGCTCCGCCACGCTTACCAGCCCCTGGGGCCCACGTCTAGCTCCCTTTGATGTTCTACAGTCTGGCTAGTTTTATACTCTTTTGTCCACCATAACCACACCCAGACTCCCTTTAACAACTAGCCAAGGGCTCTTGAAATCGTAAGGCCTCCAAGCACCCGGCTCTCCCCCCATGGAAGAGGATCAAGGGGAGTGACACTGGTCCCAGCTAGAGTCACTTTACCCTTGTAGAAAGAGAAGTGAAGAACTTGGAGCCAGACTGGAGGAAAAGGTTGGGTGGGAGGTCGTGGGGGTGGGGGGGGCGGAATGGTGGCCTTCAGGAACAAGGCCTGAGTTCTACCCAGAGTCAGGGCCCGTCAGGCGAAACGCACCACACCACACAGTCGGCCTTTTGGGGACCCGGGGCTGCGTGGGTGCGGGCCCCAGCGGGCAGTCAGGTACACAGCGCGCGCGTGGCCCTGCGGCGCAGCGTGCCAGGTGATGCGGGAAGCCCACAGCCGTGCCAGGCTGGGCACAACAAAAGCCGGGGTTCTGGGGAGGGCTGGGCGGCGCGGGAGGAGGGTTGCTGGGAGCGCCCGGCCTGCACTGGCCGCCAGCCACCGAGAGGAGGAGCAGAGGATCCTCGGAGCGCAATAAAACGGCGGCTCGGCCCGAGCCCGCAGCAAACACAGCCATAGAAGGCAGCGGAGGAGCCGAGCCGGGCTGCGCTCGCTCGCCGCCTCCCAGCCTCTTTCTTCTCCGCCGGGTGCACTGCCCCGCGCTCTCCCCTCGCTGCTTCCCACCCCTAGACAAAGAGGACAGAAAGTTTGCGCGGGGGAGCGGGCCAGGTGAGGAGGGGCGTGCCCGGCCCCCCAGCCCGCGCCACAGCAGCCGGACACAGGCCCCCAGCGCGCCATGGGCGCCACGGCCCGCAGCCTTCGCCTGGCGCTCGGCCTCCTGCTGCTGGCCACGCTACTGCGCCCGGCCGACGCCTGCAGCTGCTCCCCGGTGCACCCGCAACAGGCGTTTTGCAATGCAGACGTAGGTAAGCGGCTCTACCCTGTTCGCGAGGCCCACCACCCTGCCGGTGCAGCTGGCTGGGGCTCCCTCTGCCATCCTGCAACTGAACGCCCCAAGCGCACTTTCTCCCTCCCCCGTCCCCCCCTCCCGTTTCTCTTTCTTTCCTTCTCTGAGCTGGGAGATGCTTGGCGACCTCAAAATTCCACCGAAATTCCGCAGCAGCTCCGGCCGCAGGAAAGGGAGCCAGGGAACGCTTGGGTGTTGGCAGGCGGCCTCCCTGGGATGCCAGTGCTGGGGGCGGGGAGTAGGGGACACGCGGGGGTGCGGTGGTTAAAGGACTGGAAACCCCGGGAAGAAACTTCCACAGGTGAGGGGGCGACTGTGTGAGGAGGGCTTCTCTGCAGCCATTTGGGAGTTTTTGCGTTTAGATGGAAGCCCCCTGCGCAGATCCCGTGAGCTCAGAGGGACGGGCGGAAGGCTGCTAGAGTCCAGTTCCCTGCTGCGTGTCCCCTGGAAGGCCCCACCAGCAGGACCGGGCAGGGTCCAGAGCCTGAGTATTTGCCGCTGTTTACTTTGTTTTCACAATGTGCACACATACACACACACACACACACACACACACACACACACACGGACGGACGGACGGACAGACGGGAGGGGGTGACTTGTGACTATGGGGGTCACGGGATTGTATGGCTGCTTAGGTTGCCCAGCATATATGTTACCCTCAGGACTCCTTGACCCAAAGGGTTCTAGCAAGCCAGATAGGAGAGATACATAGATAGTTATGTGGTCCTGGAAAAGCTGGTAAAAGTGGGAGGCTCCACTTGGAGCTGACCTCCTGGAAGCCTCTCCCACACTGGGCAAACTCGGGAATCCAGCAGGGAATCCAGCAGGTGAGGCTCTGGCTCCCACCCACCTTCCCCGTGGTTTTTATGTCCTATCTACCCAAGTATCCTGTGCCCCTCTCCCGCACAGACTGAAGCCACAGTGCCTCTGTTTCTCCAGGTATCAGGAATGCCCCCTGATACCCCATCCTGTAGCTCCTTGCCCCCACCCTGGTTAGCTCTTTGGAGGGTGTTTAGCTGATGCTATCTACAGGGCTACCTAACCCAGGCTACCTCGGCACAGCCGATCCATGACGTGTGCTTGTGCAGTGGTACGCAAACACAGTCGGATCTGGGGAAAATGAGATTTTTTTTTTGCCTAGTCTAGCTTGGACAATCGGCAAAATTTGGGGTTGAGGAAGCAGCCCCTTCCAATGAGGGACTCCTTCGGGAGTGCAGGCGCATAAGCCCCTTTGCAGAGACCTCACTTCTGACCAGCAGGTTGTAGGGAACTCAGAGGAAAGCAGCATGCAGAACCCCCGGGGGGGGGCTGGTTCAAAGGGGAGGCGGGGGGAGCTGGCTTGAGATGCCCACACTGCCAGCTGCGAGTTGGGGGACACTCAGAAAGAACCACGCAAGGCAGCGCCAGGCTGCACACTGCACTAGTCTGGTCCGGATCAGAGGTCTGAGGCTTTTCTCAGTGCCTAGGGGCCCCTTCCTGCCTGCACACTGCTCTCCGCCTAGATTTCCCAGCCTTGGCATCCAAAGCGTGGCATCTAAACCACCATGAAGCCAAGGCTTCCCACTCATCCCAGCAGGGGCCCCGTCCCATAGCAGAGCTATGTCTCCTGTGGCTTCTGTGACAGATGACCACAAATAGGTGTCCCCAGAGCGATGGAACTGACCATCTCATGGTCCAGGAGTTCCGAAGCCTGAAATCCAGATGCTGGCAAGGCTGGCTCCTCTTTGAGATCTGAGGGAGGGCCTGGCCCAGGCCTCCCTCCCAGTGTGGAGCGGGCCACTCCTGATACTCCTTAGTGGTCTTGGGGGCATGGTAGATGAGCCCCTTTTATTTCTTGTCTACATATGGCTCTGCCCCCTCTTAGAAGGACGCCAGGCATTGGACTCAGTGTCTGCTCGAAACCCATTTTGATGTGATTACGTCAGCAGAGACATCCCAATAGGGTTATATTCACAGGTTCTGGCTGGTTATGAACTTGTAGGAGGAGCACTGTCCACTCAGCACAGCCAAGGGGTTCTGTGTTAGCCCTACCCGCCCCCTCTAGGATTGACCAGCTTGGTCTGAAAAGTGTCTGACACCCCAGGGTAGGGAACTGCGCTGAGCCCACCATGTCAGCATTGGCCTGCTGCAGGGGCAGGGTTCTGTCCTCCTGGAAGTGGTACAGATTTGTGGCTGGCTCAGAGGGGCTTCCCAGTCTAGCCAGGGTCAGAACTGCCGCTGCTGTCTCTTGATTTCCCAGGCTGATAAGGAAGGCCTGGCCCAGACTTAAGCTGCCGTAGCTGTGAGAGCACCCCAGATTTTGTGCGCTCACTGCCGTGATCCAGGGGCCTGGAATGGGGGGTGCATCGGGGGTTAATAAAGGGTAGCTTTTCCTGAGGCTGCACACAGTCTTGCTGACTGACTCCACATCTGCCTGGGGAACGGACTCCTGGGAGGGATCTCCCTGCCAATGGCAGGTCTGGAGCTATGGTGAGCAAAGAGAATTGTGACACTTCTTGTGGAAGGGATAGGAGATGGCCTGGCCCACTCTTGGAAGGCCCCGCTCTCTGCGCTTCCAGGTCAGGACACATAGGAAACGTGTCTGTATCCTAGCGCTGCTCAGGCACGCTGCCGGTCTGAGTCTCTCACCTAATGGAATCTTCCTCCGCCTTCTGCAAGCCGTGGAACCTGGAGTGACCGAATCCGCTGAGCTGCTTGGCAGACTGCAGCTACTTTGTCTGCTTTCTGGAATCAAGGGTATTGAGGAATTGGGGGGTGAGGGATCCAGCCCCTCTGTCCAGGTAGTGAGGCCTGAAGCCATAGTCAAGACCCCCAAGGCCAGGTCTGGGTCCCGGGGTGATCAGGTTGAGGACACACTGGCTTTCTGTGGGGCCTGTTTGTATTTGTGTACGTGGTGATGGAGACCAGAGAGGTAGGAGTGGCCACCCCAGAAAGCCTGCAGCACGCAGCACTTAGTGATGATTCTGTCTTTGTTGACTCCTGTAAAGAGTAAAGCAAGGTGCCGCCAGGCCCTGTGAGCCTTGCAGGACTTTGGCGGATGGTGACTCTCTGAAGAAACTGCTGGAAGCAGGTGCGGGCTCTTCCTGGGCACCCAGACGTGCGGTTTTCACACTGGGCTTGTCTGTTTCAATGAACCAGTCCAGAGTGGCTGGCTCTGCCTTACAGGGATGGAAGAGAGAAATGAACCTCTGGGAAGAGGAAAACCAAATACCAGGGCAGGGGCCAGTAGAGGCGCGTTTGAAGGTTGGGAGGGCTATGCAGACCCTTGCCAATTGCCAGCAGACGGCCCGTGGAAGATGTAAACAAAGTCAGGCTTTGTGCGGTCCGTGAAAATGATTAACTTAAGTGACACACTTGCCACATTCAGGGGTAAGCGCGCAGCACCCTGAAATGGGTTTGCACGTTGCAAAGGTAAGAATTCTGACGGCCACTGAGGGAGGCGGCTGTCGGAACACTTTGACTAGTATCCCGGGCATGGGTATCTTCTGCTAGGGAGGGTGCAGAGTCCGAGTCACTGGCTGTAGAGAAATGAAGTGTCAGTCAGTCAAGCAGGGAGGTGTGAACCCTCCCACACCACTTAGCTGAGCTCAGTGCCAGCCTGGGACCTGTCTCTGAAACTCAGATCTTCTGGTGTGGTGGTGAAGTTCCCCAGCACTGGCCCGCAGATGGGCTGGGTCTCCACCTTCCTCCAGCTGACCTTCGTTTGGGCCTCCAGGTGGCTTCAAGTAAGAACTTTAGATGGGTCTTCAGGTAGGAGAAGCAGAGAGGCAGCTGCCTGGATCTTAGCCTAATGACTAAGGCTTTGGACTGCTTGCGCCAGAACACATTTGAAAGCTGTTTCAGGGCTCCGGTAATCTTGACGGATGTGTGTGTGTGTGTGTGTGTGTGTGTGAGAGAGAGAGAGAGAGAGAGAGAGAAGGGGGGGACAGCAAGGGAAGACACAAAGGGAAGGAGGAAGGCAGACGGAGGAAGGGTCATGCAGGAGCCTTTCCCCAGCCGTGGAGCTAGACTCAAACACTTGCAATGAGTGTTCCTCTGCCCCTGATGCACCCATATGCCCGGGACCAGGCAGCCCGTGGCCAGGGTGGCTTTTCTCCAGAGGGAGGAAGTGAGGCACGGAGGACAGGCAATGTATAGGACACAGACTGGGAAAGAATGCTCCGGGCATGGCTAAGGGCACCCTGGATGGTGTCAAGAGTGAGCGTCGTTGGTGGGTGGGCTGGATTGAGGTGAGAGATTTGTAGGTGCACCGTGGCTGAGGAAGAGGCAGGAAGTGGCTGGTACAGATTGGGGTCAAGTGTTTTCCCTCTGACAGGTCACATGGTCACATGGTGCATCCTGTCCTAACAGTGGACCCTCAGCAAAAGTCCCTGAGGACATGAGGGCCGTGGATTGGTGGCTGGAGTCATCGACACCTGGAACCTTGGGACCTGGGTGTGGTCACTGTGGTTCTTTTTAAAGACTGTCCAGGCAATTCCACTGGTGTCCTGCCCATGCTGGCGCCGAGCAGCGGGGTCCCCAAGACAGTGTGGCGGCGGCAGCAGAGGTTAGAGATGGAGTGATGAGCGTCTACCCAGATGCAATGTTTGGTGGCGGCCTATCGGATGACAGTGCTTGGCCAGGGTCTTGGTTTGGCTGCCCGGTGTGCATAAGAGCAGTGGAGCCCGTTCCCAGGTGTGGCGGAGGGAGTCCAGCAGATGAGACAGACGCCTAAGACACCAGGAGGAGAGTTGGCCAGAGGATAAGGAAGAAGGTAGATTTCTAGACCAAGCATGACCATGATGCTCAGTGTGCCAGGAGAGGCTGCAGTGTTCACATGAATACCCCCTCTCATCCCCCAGTCTGAGCTGACTGACCCCTGCCCCCCTGAGCTGACTGGATCCGTACAGCTGCTGCCCCAGCCGCATGGGTCTCTGTCATTTCTCGAATGTGCAGGAGTAGAAGGGACAGTATAGG